CAGCTTCAACGAATGAAGCTTTAAATAATCTTGTCGCAGACCTTGTCATTGTTTCTATTATACCAATAGTTTGATCGATGTTTTTATCTGACATTCTTCTGAAGAGGTATTTTGTGAGGTAAGAGTCAACACTGTATTTGTTAACTTTCATAAGTTCTTTAATTCCATCATCAATGTTGTAATCCAGGATGTCAAAATAATATTTTAAGGAATCTTCAAAGAGTTGTTTGTAACATGAATTAACTGAGTTCGGCAGAAAACTACAAGCGGAGAAGTGTTTATCAGCATATTCCGAGTCATTATTTGATCCTGATCATCGTATATATTATTGTAAAAATATCAGCCACTACATGATTGTTTCATCAAAAATGTTTAATAATTATCACTCAAGTCATTGTTCAATAAATAACAATTATTGATTGAAACGAATAGAACAAACATACTTTTTACGCTCATCGGTAAAAATGAAATCGATAAGCTTAAGATAATGTGGGTTTTCTTTTTCTGTATATCCACCATTAATTTCATTCAAATACTTAATCGTTTCAAATATGTTTGTATACGATTTGGTTTGTGGCAATCTTATTGCTCCAAATTCACCATACAATTTTTTTTTATAATCTTTATCAAAATATTCAGTGTAAACACATCCACCTACACGATCTTGACATTCAAGAATGACAATCTTAATTTGTTTTTTATTTCTTTTTTGTTGGTACTCATTAAAATCATGTAAGAGTAAGGCTGCAAACAATCCTGTTGATTCGTTATGATGAAATTAAATATATGATTGAACTACGGCACGTTAAATTCAGAAGATTTTTTACGAATATACCCGACATTCCTGCGCCAATGATACAAATATCTAATTACAAAAGAAAAATTGATTAAAAAATTTAGTTTACAATATGGTAAATATGTTCGGTATAAATAGATATTACCTTCAGATAGTGGTGGTGGTGGTGCATTTGATGGTGGACGTGGTGGCCATTCAAAGCCTGGATATCTATTGTTATTAAGGCGTATATATTGATATATATATTTAAATTAATATTGGTATTAGTCATATAAATAATATACATATGATAAATAATATTCATCTCGAACGTCTTTAAGTTCATGATGAACATCTTTGTTAAGTTCATGAGGAACGTGAATCCAAGGTGAAGGGTGAACAAAAGACATTTATATTTAATCCTTCGTTTTATAAAATGAGAGTGATAAACAATATTCGACTTGGAATAGATAAATACTTTGTTATACCGGAATTTTGTTAATGGTAACATTACATCAAACCGCATTTCAATATCGATATAACGATAATGATAAGTATGGGACATTGTCCTACAGGTGGAGCCGAATATCGATATCGTTACCTATCGACTCATAGGAGGACAAGCTTCTGATTGGCTGATGTAAATCAATTGCCCGGGTAACTAATTTATATAGTTTAAAGTACTTTTTCAAATTGCAACGTTTCACAATTTTACTTAAGAAAAAATTTTTTTTTTTTCATAATTAGGTTTAGAAGAGCGTTGCCCTTCGCTATACAAAATAATCCCAAAATAATCCCAAAAACAGATGACTTTACTTAGAAGCGAAGTTTCTATGTATGCTATTATATTTGCAGTTAGTAAAATGGGTATACAAGTATTGATTGCAAAAAATAGTTGAGTAAAAAGAACGATCAAACTATTGGTATAATAGAAACAATGACAAGGTCTGCGACAAGATTATTTAAAGCTTCATTCGTTGAAGCTG